TTGCAATGAAAAACTTCCGGGGCTCGCTACTATTTTCAAACACGCGAGCGAGTACGTGAAGTAATAGTGCTGCAGATATAGAAATTTTTAATCAACGCACGATCGGGGACGAATGAAAAAGTCATACCTGTGAATTTTCATGATTACGAAACCATTAGTCCGAAGCAACTGTGAAACGATTGCATGAAAAACATTTTTCTGTAACGAAAGATATTTTTCATTATTACGTGACTATAAGTAATCCATATAAAAAAAGATCGAATGAATTAATATCCAAAAACAATGAATAAATTAGTAAAATTTGTATGTTTAATTTTGCAATAATTTGTTAAATACAATACATATCTAATATATTTAAAAAGAATTTTATGCATGTCATTTTATGAAAAAAAACATGGACAACAAAAAATGACATAGAAAGAGAAATATTTATTAACAGATGTATATTCTTATACGTGCGATGTTATATTATAATAAATTCTTAAATTTCATATTTTTGACAAACATATTTTTGAATTTTATACATATATTTTTACTTCTGCAGTGTTGATTATAATTTAGTTACATTTTTACTTCAACATATTTCAAATGTTCTATTTTTCTAAGAAACGTGTTTCATCTAAATGGGAATTAAAAATAGCGATTGTAAATACAGCAAATCTCTCCCCTCCCCCCTTTTCTCTCCATCTATCTATCTCTCCGCATGTTATTTTTATCGTGCGTTTTTTTATAAAATGGCAAATAATACATCAATTTATTCTTTTTAAATATTCTATATACTCGTACATGCTTTACAATAAATTGCAAAACTAAAAATACCGTAGCTATAACAAGTCTTAATACACGTGAATTAAATGAAACAGTCAGATGAAGAAGAATTATTATATAAAAGCATGTTAAATAAATAGACCATTTGTCCGCCGCAGATTAAATTTTTTGCAAGACTTGCGCGAATGTTAGGTGGAAACGGTTGGCAAACGCATTAACTCTGGAAATGTCAATGGTGATAATCACATCTGCCACGAACACGTCGAGCCCTTTTTTGTGCCCATAAGGAATCCCTCTGATATATTTGTGCTGAGGTCAAATGGTCGATGCAAAAATCATATTTCCGTAAAACATTTCGCAAGGGAAACGAGGCCTCGGCTGATATATGCCCGAGCCTTACCACTGAAAATCTGGGACGCTCGGCTCTTCTTCGCACAATTGGGAGATTTTCAAACAGCCCGATTCATGACAGACGTCATTTTTTATTCCCACCACTCGGCAGATAAGAGTATCCGCGTGTTTTCGGGAGCAGTGAGAGGAGAGGAAGGGAAGAGGACGAAAGAGAGAGGAAAACGAGCGATACACGAGGTCGATAATCCTCGCCGGAAGGTTATTCCGCTGGCCCGACGCGGCTCGTGTATTAATCGCGAATGAAAAAAAAAAAAAACCCTCCACAGTTCAGTTCGAAACGCGAGCACGATGAACGGCATTTACATAGGCAATTCGCGACGCGACGGTAATTGTAAACGCATATCCGCCAGATGGTCCGCGATTTTATCTTGAAAAGCCGGCAAAAAGGCTCGTCGTCCGCCACGAACGAAATTCATGGCGCAACATTTATAGCGACGCTCAGCCTAGCGTTCTCTCTGCCGTGCAAAAGATAAAATTTCGTGAGAAAAGCGCGCACGCGCGCGGTAATATTTCCTTCGCAAATTTATCTGCTGTTATTCAACGCGATGAAAATAAACGTCACTCGCGGCGGTGCAATGTACGGCGCACTCTCCTCGATCGAAATCAAGAGGGGTGGGTAAACGCGAGTCGCGTGCGGATTGATTAATTAGAACGCACATACTTTTAATTCGCGCGATTTTGCATATATGTTGCATATATGACCACGCCACCGTTCATTTGACGCCGCGAGAGGCAGCGGTGCGAGATACGCACAGCTGCATCGTATTTATGGAGTTGGTCGGCAAAGCGAGCGAGTATATCACTGCGAATATAGTATCGCATTGGGTAGCCACAAATTCGCGCTCCGTACTTCATGTGGTGCAAACCCTCGATCATCCTGTAACTGACCTCGTTTACGAAACTGTCAATATGTCAATTATTAAGTAGTTGTGCTAATAAAAATTTTAAGTATCTTCCTAAATTTCCAACCCGATTAAAGTGACATTTTATTTGTTTGTCTTAGAATTTATGTCGGGAAACATTATTTTTATGTTTGTTTTCACTTACTCATAAATTATGTTAGTTTAATACTAAGAAACATTAAATATCAATTTAATACAAAATATTCAAATAACGTAATCACATTATGTTAAATTAACATTCGGATATATTACAAATTTGACACAAAATTGTAATAA